TTCAAGACTCAAAGAAAAACTTAAAAATGGTCCTTAAGCAACTTCCAAATTTTTTTTATTGCTTCAAGGTCTAGCGTTTTACTCCTCTTTGTTTCAAGTACCTAATTGACAAATATCAAGTGAGAAAATAAAATAAAATGACTTTAAAGTAAACAATCAACAAAGAACTAATGTTTAATTCAATTCTTTAAACCGTTAGATCCCTGGCAACGGCGCTACAACTATAATGCAATCGAGCATGTGCACAAAAAAATGCATAACACTTTAGGCTTAGAAATAATGTCAAGTGGGCATCATATTTTATAATTTAAAAAATCACTAAACACTTATACTATGTAATATGAAGCGAGTAGGGATCGTCCCAAGAGATCTAAACAAATATTGGTTTTTAGAATTGAATTCTACTTTAGTACTTATGTGATTGCTAAAGAGAGATTTATTTTATGATTAGAACTAATTTTAATCTAAATGTTGCAATAAAAGAATAGAGTTTAAAAAATTAAGAAAGAGATTTAGGGCTTAGGATTCACCACTAAGCACATTCCCTAACTCACTGACTTTCAACTAATTGGGGAAAAAATACTATGTAATTCTAATGTAGCTAACATTTGCAGCGAAAAGTATGAATCATCAATTTCAAGCTTGAATTACCTACTTAATGACAATTAAGCTAGACGTAGTATAATTCACCAATCTAAAGAATGACTTATTAATTCAAGTTACAATTTTAACATAGATTAATCAAGAGGGTAATGCAATTGTGACAAAGAGTATGAAATTCAAACACAAGTACGGATGGTCTACTTACCTAATAATTAAATCTAATAATTAAATTGCAATTAAACTAATTAAACTTAAATTAAACTAATTAAACATGAAATTAAAACTAATTAGACAATTAATTAACCTAAACATGTAGTGCCATCCATCAAGTAGAAGTATTTTCTATCAATTTGAAACACAATTACAATGAATCAATACCATGTAAAGCCATCACAAGAATCAATTAATAAAGAATTCAAGTGTAAAATTTGTTTATCAATCAACCACACATAAGACAACATGAGATTAATACCGATAATCAATTAAAAGAATTTAATTCATAATATTCAAGACTATACACTAATTACATAATCCCCAAAAAGCGGAAAGAGGGAGAGAATAGGTTATATGCTTAGAATTTATCCAACCCTAAGTAAAAGAATCAGTCACTTATGGTTGATGGATTCGAAGATAGAACAATCTCCATCATCTGCTTCATCATCTCTGAGCTTCTTTTTTCAAACCCTAGCCCTTTCTTCTGTTTCTCCTCTTTCGCGTTTTCCAGAGAAAGCGTAATACAGAAATAATAAAACTTAATACAAATAATAAAAACTCCCTATTAAAATAATGAAAAACTAACCCTAAAATAATGGGCTTGTTTCCCTTAAGTCCAAAACCCTATTGGAGGCAACAATTAACAAAAACAAGCCCAACAAGTTAAAGCCCGTAGCCATAAAAACAAGTTAATCCCGTAACTAAATCTGCTGCCAGTAGCATGGCGTCCAGATGCAGTTTTTGGCGTCCAGACATAGTGTATAGGATGCTCGTGTCCGGACACAAGGAATGGCGTACGGACACAATGCACTGCTGCATCCTTGCTTCCTTCTGAATGTTGTCCCGATACTCTAGCTTGACTCCAAAAGGCCATAATAGACCATTCTTAGCTCATTTTAAATTTGTTGCCCTAAAATACACATAAACATAAATTAAGACTAAAACATGAAAATAAGATAGATGTAGGGACTGAAATACCCTAACTTAGGTGCTGAAATGTGCAATATTTAAGCACTTATCACACTCTCTCTCTCTCCTCTTTATTCATATCTGAAACAAGTCGCGTCTCTGTTTCTCTTTTAAATAGTAACAATTTTTAGATTTTTTTTTCCTACTTGGTACTCACACAACCCCAGTTCCAAAGGATTGTTTGCACAAAATTTTTAGATTTTAGATTTTTTTATCAGTTTATTTTTTGATTTGGGTAATACAATAAAAATGTAATGGATTCGTTAAAGCAGAATTCAACTAAACTATAGGCATGGTTAATTGTTTGGTACATCGTTCCTGAGACTTCAATATTGCTTTCAATTTGAGATAAGTTGTTTGGTGTTTTTGTAGCCTTATAATGCATTTAAAGTGTAAGAGTCTTGACATTGTAAATGAAAAATAAAAAATTGTACACATGCGCTAAAAACATCCTCTGGTTTTCCTTATAATGCATTTAGAGTACCATTACCTTTTTATTGTATTACTCAAATCAAAAAATAAAATGATAAAAAAATCTAAAATCTAAAAATTTCGTGCAAACAATCCTTTGGAACCGATGTTGTGTGAGTACTAGCTAGAAAAAAAAAATCTAAAATTTGTTACTATTTAAAAGAGAAACAGAGATGCGACTTGTTTTAGATATGAATAAAGATGTGAGAGAGGGAGAATCTTTTTTTGGAAAAGATGAGAGAGAGATAACGATGTTAAACGTCTTTAGAGTATGGTGAATTTTCTTTAATTTAAAGCAGAATAGTTTGTAAATTTTGGTAAATTTTTCTTATTTCAGAATGGTGCAATTTTCAAAGTTTTCTTTAAATTCGTTAATGTGGTTTAACACGAGTAGTAGATAGGTTTTTAACGTTACGTGTCATTCGGTAGGGAATTCAACTTACGATAGCATAGAATATCCAAGTCCTTCAAGAAAAAGGAAATTCGCTCCCAAAAGGAAATTTGAGTGAGGGTTTCTCTCTCCGACTCCCAAAAGGAAAGCTAATTAAGCCATGTCTCATTAGTGATAAAATCATGAAAAACACTTGGTGATGTCTTTCATTTTCCTATTATTTTTATAGAAAATACTATACTTCACGAATTTTAATTTGCGATTTTATCTTAAATTAGATGGCTACTTATTTGGTTGCTTTGTGTGTTTTAAAAGTAATATTTTAATATAGGAAGGAGAGAAAAAAATAGTAAAATTTATAATTATGAAATCAAAACCCTAATATAACTTAATAATTTACATTCAATTACTTACCAAAAAAAAAAAAAAATTAAATTCAATCTTGGGAGTATAAATCTTCGTTTGAGAGACTCTTCCTATTGAATCTTTAATGGGTTTGTTTCTCTCTCCATAATGCTTAGGATTGCATATGATTCGGATTTGATAAATTTGATAATATTTTGGTACCAAATCATTTCTAACAGTTAATAAAAATAGGAATCCAACGAATCGTGAAACTAATGGAATCAAACCAAACCAAATCACCAAACCAAATCATGATTTGGTTTGGTTTGATTCCACGAACCACGGTTCAAGGCTTTTTTATAATCAATCTAATATATATATATATATATATATATATATATAATTAAAAAATATTATATAATATAATTTTCTATTATATTATAATTTCTTATTATATATTATGATATATAGTTGAGTGTTTTAAAGACTAATCTTAATATTCTATTATTTATATAATACAAAAATATATAAATACTAGTAAAAGACACATGCATGTGGTCAAAATTTAAAAGTTAATTTATAATAAAAAATTATTTTATAAATAACTAATTAGCAACTAGTTTTAAATAGTTGATATTTAATATTTATAAAGTCATTAGATAAATATGTATTTATAAGAGTTCACTTTTATTATTTCTTTTATTAATAAATTTTATAAACAATAATCAGGTAGAATTAATAATAAAATAATTGTCATCTAAAACTAAAATAAACAATAATCAATAGAAATAATGTAACTTCTATATGTAAAAAATTAGTAGTGATCTAAAACTAAACAAAATAATAATCAAACAAAAATAATATAGCTTCTACATATAATGTTAAATTTAATTGGTAAATTGTTTTAGCTTTGAAGAATTCCGAGTATGATATGATTTATTTTAATTGGTAACTTATTTTATTATTTGGTATATTATTTTATTTTTTTAAAAAAATTTGTTTGTTAATATAATGGTTTAGTTTACACTAAAGTTTAGATTAATTTTCAATTAAACAATTACCTATTTTATTTTAATTGGTAACTTATTTTATTATTTGATAAATTATTTTATTAAATAATTACCTATTTTATTTTAATTGGTAACTTGTTTTAGTTGTTTTAGCCATGAAGAATTTCGAGGAGAATTGGTAACTTTAATTACCTATTTTATTTTAATTGATAACTTGCTTGAGTTGTTTTAAAATTTTTGAGTACAATTGGTAATCTACATATAATGTTATATTTAATTGGTAATTTGTTTTAGCCTTGAAGAATTTCGTGTATAATATGATTTATTTTAATTGGTAACTTATAATAATATTTGGTATATTATTTTATTTAAAAAAAATATTATTTGTTAATATAATGGTTAGTAGACTCTTAAGATAAAGATTAACTTTGAATTAAATAATTACCTATTTATTTTATTATTTGGTAAATTATTTTATTATATAATTAGGTATTTTATTTTAATTGGTAACTTGTTTGAGTTGTTTTTTAGTCTTAAAAAATTCTGAATTTAATTGCTAATTTTTAATTGATAATTTATTTTATTATTTATTTATTTTTAAATAATGATTTGAAATTTTTAACTCTCTTGTAGACAGTTGTAGTGTTAATAATAATATAGATATATTTAATTTGATCTTGTATACCACAAATTGCTTTATAAATGTTTCCATATTTTTGAAATCTTAACCGATTCATTAAAAAAATAATTCCACCAATTCAATCTATCAATTTAAACGGATTTTTTGTTTGCATCCCTAACTCTCCTCTCCTAACCCCACGATTTCATGGAAAATTAGATTTCAAAAGAAATTCCATAAAAAAGCGCGAGTCTGGTTTTATACTCTACTCTCTAGTCGCAAACTATATATATATATATATATATATATATAATTTTATTTTTTATTTTTATTTTTATTTTTATTTTTATTTATTTTTTTTTTTTCTAGAATACGTGACATGGCGGTCGTGAACCTACCTCGAGATATCCAAATGGACATACTCTCAAGACTTCCGGTTGAATCACTTTTGCGATTCAAGTGCGTTTCAAAACGATATCGATATTTAATTTCTGATCCTTATTTCATCAAATTGCATCTCAATCGATCGATTCACTCCAAGAATTGGCACAAACTCTCTTTCTATCGTTTCGGTCCTCAATCAATAGACTATGAATCATTATTTGGCAACAACAACGTTAATGATGTTAGTAATGCAGTAGTGAAGTTGTACCCTCCCTTTTTGAGTCGAAGTTGTGATAACCTCTTCTGTGTAATAGGTTCTTGCAACGGCTTGATTTGTTATATTGTCGAACATGGCCAAATTATCTTATATAACCCTTCCACTAGAGTCTACAAGAAATTGCCACAGCCACCACACTGGATTGTAGGTTATTTTGGGTTTGCTTATGACTCCTCAAACCATGATTACAAGGTAATTATGGCAACATGTCACATTAATGATGATATATTCAAAAGTTGTATCTTTAGTCTTAGAGACAATTCTTGGAGAACAATGCCAGACGTGGGTTGTAATTATGTTGACATACTCTCATTGTCTAGTGTTGACATATTCTCGTTGTCTGGTTGTTGCTTGAATGGAGCTTTACATTGGCTTTTGAAACCCGGGGTGATTGTTTGTTTTGATTTATCAAAGGAGGTGTTTAGTGAGATGTCCCTAGATGGTATTCAGGGTGGACAAGAAATAGATTTGTGGTTTTGCAGATTGGGTGTTTTAGAAGGATGTTTGTATGCCGTGTCTGTTTCGAATGGCGTTAATGGACGTTTGGTTGAGGTGTGGTTGATGAAGGAATATGGCGTGAAAGCATCTTGGAGTAAGTTTATCTCCATCCCATGTGACGTGGACACTCTTTGCTTCACACCATTGTGTTTCTTGAGCAATGGTGAACTGCTACTGAAGATTGATCGATCAAACTCAGGATTGTACATTGATCAAGAAAAGTTAGGATCGTACAATACTAAACTAAATACATTTACAAAAATTTGTGATTGTCCCAATGTTTATGAAGATGTTCATGAAGAGTATTTGTACGTGGAGAGTCTGGTTTCACCCAACAGCTTTGATGGTCCCCGTTCACGTTCACTTTCATGCGGGATGAAAGCAGTGATAAGTTGCTGGTCTTCCTTATTTCCTTCAAGATTTACAGAAGATTGATTCTGGGCTGGCACTTCCCCTACTTCCTGTGGATGGGATTTCAAAATTTCCTCTCTCCATAACAAGAGAGAATGGATTGGACATTATACCTACAGACTGATCTGCAACTAGGGTGCTGATTTTTTTTTTTTTTTTTTTTCTTTTTTTCCCGGTGAGTGGTATGCTGAAAATCTATTTTAGTTATATATTGAAGATTTGACATAGACAATTAAATTGTTTGACCATTTCTTTGTGTTTGACCATTTCTTTGTGCTAAGAGGGGTTGCTGTGATTATTTTTGATGGAAATTTGTGCATTTGTTTCTTATATTTTTTTTGGGAGGTTTTCATTTTGTTTTGATCATAAGTTAAAGTTGTTTGTGCTCAAGCCACATAATTAGATGTCTACATACATGGATGACATAGTTATATGTTAAATTCAATGCAGTCACCATTGTTCATGCACACATTCGATGTGAGCCATTAAATCGACCATATGTATGGTTTTTTTTTAATATAATTTCATTCCTCAACAAATAATTCTGAGATGCAATACTGTTGTTAGTTTTCTTAATTTTGTACAACAGAACTCTATGGATGTCCTCACTTTTACTAGTAGGAATCTCCAAGAATAATTATCCTTTTAACTTTTTGTTAATTTGTTTATTATTCTTTGGTAATTTTAATTTTAATTTGACATGGAATAGTTATGAATTCATGACATGATTATGTTATGTATTTATTTTTAAGAATCTACTAAAGACACTTGTTTTGCATCTCAGAGAGGAATATTGCGATGTTGACGAGGAGAATTTGCTAAGATTTATTGCAACACCTTGAGAGGAAACTCCAACAAGATACTTGAAAGAATGCTTAGGTTTTATGAGTCAATTGTTGTGTTAGTATGCCAAAAATGGTCATTACTTACCCATTACAGACAGATTAGATACAAAACTAAACTTTGGCATTTTAACACATGGTTTCATGCTTGAAAACGTCATCATTTTACCACTGTATTACTGTGTCAAGTGCAGAAAATATCCCTAAAAGTGTGCTTACAGTGCATATCACACCACTCAAGTGTAAAAAGTATCCCTAAAGTTTTAATTTGATGAAAGTAGGTCCATTTGACAAATTTAAACTCTAAGTTAACTAAATTATCCTTAGTGATCCATTTTATAAAATATATAAAAATAAATAATTTTGTAAAATGACCGAAAAGGACATTATTGGATGATGCCACCACGTGCAATAAAATACCCCTAAAGTTTTGATTTGGTGCAAATAACCTTGACAAGTTTAAACTCTACGTTGACTAAATTACACTTACTAAAACATTTTATAAAATATTAAAAAATAAATAATTTTGTAAAATGACCGAAAATGATACTATACAAACTAAAGAAAACAAATCTACTCAAAACTCCGAAAATTAGTGTACACTGATATTGGGATTTTTTTCCTTTAAAGAAAAAAAACCTTAGTAGAAATAGTAAACTGAAATCTCCAAAAATTAAAATCCTTATTTTATAAATTCTCAAATTTCAAAAAAGAAAAAAAAAAAAACAGAAGAAGAAGGGGTAATGTGCATATAACACCCATATACTATGAGATTAGTAGCATATATATCACTTGAGTATTTTTAGAAGAATAAAAGGGCAAAATGGGTATTACAATACTAATTTAATAGTTCAATTGCATATATGTGAGTTAGGAAGCACGAACACACCTAAAAGGGAAAAGAATCTGTGTTCAACACCGACACACGCTGGACATGCCCCAATACGACAAAAAAACGTGTCTAATATTATTTTTTTCTTTTTTTTGAATCGAACATGCCGCAGACGTTCGACAGGCCATGGATACACATGCTGCATTCTTGAGTTTTTTTATAATTTCTTTCGCAAGTAAAGCATTATTGGGATTTTAAAGAAAGTTTTAGAAAAAAAGCTGGATTAAAGTATGAATATGAGGAGCTGTTTAATAACTTTCAATAATATGATAATCATTATATAATTAATAAAAAGTTGTAGTTTTATAAAATAATTTTATATTAGAACAATCATATATTGATGCTTATATTTCTATTCAAAGTTTTAAACTATTGCACATCAACTTTGACTCTCTCTAGTTCTTCCACTCACTAAGCTTCACTGCTAGTGGATGATCTCTAAACTAAATACTTGTTTTGTTAGACCTCTCTTGTTCTCTCTTCTTCTTCCTCCTATTTTCTATTTTCTTCACAAACCCTAAATACTTTTTTTCCCCTTCCATTCACAACAATATATTTTTATTTTTTTATGTCTTTTTCCTCTTGTTTCCATGAATATTTTATCTTCTATGGATTCTTACCGTTATTTTTAACCAAGCCCTATTTCTTTTTTCTAACAAAACCCTAGTTCTCATATATTTTTTTTTTTTTTTAATCCTCTTTCTATCTTTCTTTTTCCCAGCAAAACATGGAGTTATTTTGTCACCAAAAAAAATAGTAGTTGAACAAGAAACTATTGATTTCTTAGGTTTAGTTTTAACTTAAAGGATAAAACTCCAGGATTACATCATGATCAAAATTCGTGATTTTGCTGACACTATTCAAGATAAAAAGCAACTTCAAAGTTTTTTTGGAATCTTGAATTATGGTCCCACAGTTATTCAAAGGTTTATCTCAAAAAGAAAATCCATTAATAAAGAAGCTTCAAAAGGATACACCTTTATATTGGACCGAAGACGACAAAAGCATAGTTTAACAGATCAAAAAAGATCTCGTAAACATTCCTGAAGATTATTTTCCTCAAATAGGAGATAAATTTATTCTTGAAACCCATGCCTCAGATCTCTATTGGGGATGTGTTTTGAAAGCTATTCCCAAAGACAAATGGGAATAAGCTATTTTTATAGATCATTAGATAAGAGCTCGAAAGGCTCCTATCTCAAAAAAGCTTCAAAAAGACGAATTGATCTGTGGTTATAAATCTGGGAAATTTAAACCAAATGAATAGAATTATATTATTTATGAAAAAGAACTTCTAGCTATTAAATTACCAATAAAAAGATTTCATATTTATCTTGCTACAGAAGATTTTATTATCTAAACTAATAATCAAGCAGTGAAGAACTTCCTTATAAACAAAAAGAATTGTTTAAAAGGAAGAACATTAAAATGGTTTAATATTATTGCCAAATATTCTTATTCTATAGAACATATTAAAGGCACTAACAATTTTCTTGTAAATTTTCTAAGCAGGAATTATGTAGAAATATCTAACAATATTTCCTCCTCTACAGATGAGCGATCGAGGTAAACAACCTCAAAAGGATTGTTGGATCACAATCACTAAAAGGGCGAGTAAACAACTAGTTCAAACAACTCAGCCATTAAGCAAATGGTTTATAGTTTTTGCAGGTTTTCATCCAGGAATCTATGCAAATTGGGATGATTGTCATGCCCAAATAAAAAATTACAATAGGTCATGTTTGAAGGCATACGATACACTTATAAAAGCACAACAAATATTCTATAATGTGGGTCAAGCCTCACAAAAGGTTTTTTCAAAAAACCAAGGATCAGTAGAAGTAAAAAGCTTTTACAATCCTAGAATTCCAAGCAAATTCTATAATGAAATCAATGGTGCATGGCAAATGCATCATCGTGATTGCAAAAAGAAATTTAGGCAACACCTGAGTGCTCTTACTTCTCTAATTTGCAGAACAAACAACAATGACAGAAGAGCTTAAATAGCATTGCATTCAAATTTGTTTAACAATTGATTGGGAAAATATTTTTCTTTAACCCATATTAATTGGTTTTTGAAACTTGCACAAATTATTGGAAAATATAATTTTCCAAAAAATATTTTTGCAAAAATCAACAGAATTTGTCTTCTTAAAAAGCAAGAGACATGTTCACAACTGATATTTCAAATTTATCCTTTAAAAAACTGATGATCATTTTGAAACTATTAAAAATTTCTATCTTGATAATTATGAAGAAATAAACCATTCCGACATGATTTATAATTGAAAAACAATTCCAAAAATGACTTTTTTCATTCTCCCTAGTTTTGAATGGTCAATGGAACCTATTGATTAGGGAGTAATTAACAAAATTACTTTCTCCTCACATGATTTTACTTCATAGAATGCTTTTCCAGCAATGATCAAAGCCATGATATACAAAATAACATTCAAATGGAAATTCTGTGATGGCCCTGGTTTTTTAAACAAATACGTCATATGATAAACCGAAGTTTGACCCGATAACGGATTCGAACGCGGAACTGAAAATAGAAAAAAAAATTTCTAAAGATGCAATGCAACCCTAAGATGCCAAAGTAACCTTCCATGAAGTCACGAAAAATAAGGAGAATGAAAGAGAAAATGAGAGTCAAAATGGGCATAATACGTTAATCAAGGGCAAAATGGTCAATTTACAAATGAGAAAGGAAATTTGACTCCAAGAGAGTCAAATGAGGTCAATACAACCTAAACTAATCATTTTACAACATTCCAAGAGGTTCTAAGAACTTTGGCCAAGAATCTCACAAGACTCTCATTCCCGGTTGAAACAAAATCTGACGCTATCTCACAAAAATATGAATAACTCCTACTGTAATTTGAATTTGAGAATGGCATTGGTACCATTGAAAAGCTAACTCAAAATCCTTAAGTTTAGGCTCAAGAATTACCGCAGTTGGATTAGAAATGAAGGAGATATGACTGATTGAAGTCAGAGAAACAAAGTTGAAACAAAACAAGGGAGAAAAAGAGTTGGGCATTTAGGTCAGCTAAAATGGCATTTCGGTCAGCCGAAATGACCCCAGAATGAGCAAAAATCTTTAAAATGAAGGAAAAACACTTCGGTTGGCCGAAATGATGAATCGGTCGACTGGTTGTGACCAAAACAGTACTTAAGCTACTGGAAAATGAGTTTAAACTGTTCAAATAAATCCTAAAAGCGAAATGTCATTTCGGTCGACCGAAATGACAAACAGTACCTAAGCTACTGGAAAATGAGTTTAAACT